CATTCGCATGAAATTATACGAAATTTCATTTTATTGTTCACATTTGTCATATTATCATGTCATGGTTTGTTATAATGTCATGTCAAAGTGACATGACATTATAACAAACCATGGCAACCTTGCTTCTTTTATGTCGGCAGCAACTTATGGTCTCTTTCCCACATTAGGGTTTTTATCCAAAATATTTACCCCCTAAGTTTAAAGGCGTGAAAAGATATAGCCTTAAGCGTGACGCAAGTGTAGGGCTTTTATAAAAAAAAAAAGAATTATTCAAAAATATGCTGTAATTGCTGACATCTAAGGCAACAAAGAAGTGTGTGTTTACACTTTATTATAATAGTATAGATACTCAAGTTTTTTGAAAACTCTATGTAACGTAAATTAGTTTAAGAAAATATAAGGGTAACAAAGCATTACACGAACGACCCACGCTAGCTGAGCTATTAATTACTCTGGTCGTCGGACATACGTGCGCATACCGCGTAATATAAATTATCTTCCAGTCCTATTAATGCTAGTTTCCCACGAGGGTAGCACAGTGTTTATGCTATTTGAAAGCAGCACCGCAATGTATGTCTCACTGCCCTCATGTGAAACTAGCATAATAAAATTCAACAATACTATGTTTCCATAAATTTGTATATCTATGTCGCTAGCACGCTATGGTGTCTCCTGATAGTTTGTTTTGTGTCGGGACATGCAAATGTAGTCAGACTTTTTTTGGCTTCCTATTTGCATAGGTTATAAATATTCTATACTAGCGTGTCTTTAATATGAAAAAGATTGAAAATGTGCAGTATAGTGTACAAAATTCTCAATTGTTTTGTTTATCTGATCGACTTTTATACCATAAACTGCGTTCCTTAGGGTAACCTTAGTATAAGATTTTAACGCAGAGAGTGTTTAAGTTACCATTTATAAGTTAATGTTAATTATAAAATATATACCGGCTAGTATCTAGGAATATATCTAAATATCTATCTAAAGAACTTACCGCCTCGGTGTGTATGGGATGCACCGCAAACAAGATGGCCGCCACGAAACTCGCAAATTCTGGTAGGAACATTGCGCACACCCTGGAACAAGAAAAATGCGTCATAATATGAGGTACACAAGACATAATCTCTATAAATTTCCATGCGGAGGAAGTCGGGTGCAGTAACTAGTTTAGTTCGTATAATTCAGTAGTGTCAACTATTAGTAATAATGTATAGGTGAATAGTGCCGACCTATTATGAGGCGTTAGTTCATTATCGGCGTTCCTATACGCCTATTAGGATGCTGTCGGCATGTCAATGTCAAAATTATCTGCAACGTTACACGAATAATGGATAATGTAAATTTTATAACCTGCGTAACATACTGTAAATTGTCTGCTTAAATATTTCATAGCAACTTTTGCACTCGACTCCGAACGCACAGAATTAAAATATGACTTTGCCTAATTTTAACGAGATCTGTACAGTAGTTTTAAAGATATATTATAAATTTACTTCACTACCTGTCGCTTGCGACTTTGTCGACGTAAATTTTAAAAAATATAGCCTATATTACACAGCGATTGCAAGAATTTTTAAAATCGTCCCAGTAGTTTTTGAGTGTATATCAATACATACAAAAATTCAAAAATACAAATCTTTCCTCTTTTAGTAAAGATACACAAATTAAACAAAACATTCGTTGAATTGCATAAGTGTAGTAGTTGAAATAAAAGATTATAAAGTTAATTTAGTTTAGAAACAAAAGAAATCTAGAAAACTAATTTGATATCATTTACTGTCGAGTTGGAGTACTATACTGAATAGAAACCACACTTGCTTGTAATAACAGCTGGTAACGTCATTGGCAATAATGGAGTTTGCAAGTTTCATTATTGGAGCAACACGGGTGTCGGTAATTTGTATCGTGCGACACGCTCGCGCCGGTGTGGGGTGGGCAGAAAGTTTTGCGGTGCGCTTTGTATCAGCACGTTTATGTGGTCAAGCATAACTAGTGTATATTTTTAATACTGGAGTGTACAACATCATTATCCATTTAGTATAGAGAAGTATTATACACTAGCTTTCGCCCGCGACTCCGTCCGCTTGGAATTAAAAGAAACAAAACTGAGTAGCCTATGAGTTCTTTCAGGCTATCCTCTACGTCTATGCCAAATTTAATCGAAATCCGTTCAGCCGTTTAGGCTACAAACTCAAACAAACATCCATCCATCAAGATGGCTTAACTTTCGCATTTATTAGTATGATTGAAATAAAGTTATATGATTAGTATGATTAAAATAAAGATTACTAGTTAGTTTAACGGATTTTTATTGTATTAAACTTGTTTATTTCAACTTACATACTTCTAAAGACAATATTTAATAGAGGAACTAAAATGGAAACATGATTTATTTTTAAATAATAAAAAATAGTAACATTAAACAAATACCTAATTTAGAGACGCTCAAAATCTATTTTTACACAATACCTTTAATATTATCCCTCTGCCGCTTAACTCGGAAAAAGTTACAAATTGTTTCACTAGGGCCCTTCAGAATCTCGAGGGCTACTTTCTTAAGGGGAAACTTGTTTTATATTTCTGTTAAGAGTTCTGAGCCAGTTGCATATATAGGATATAAGAATCTTTACAACGTTTACATTAACATGCAAGAATATTGTTTTTGTTAACAAAACATAAAACACATGACGATATTGTATTTAAAAACTAAATAAAAGGACAAGGATACATGACTATTTTGGGTACTAAACATGACTAGACTTCTTAAATAATATTAAAAGACTGTCTTGTGGCCAAATTCTTAATCAAAGTATCCAAACTATCAAAACCATCTTAATAATGAAAATTTTCTTTGACCCTTTTAGGTCTAACTCTGATTATAAAACTCGATTGTATGTTAACATGATCTTACTAATATTATAAATGCGAAAGTTTAGATGGATGGATGTTTGTTAGAGTTTGTAGCATAAACTGCTGAATGGATTTCGATGAAATTTGGCATAGATGTAAGAGATAGCCTGGAAGAACACATAGGCTACTTATTTTTGTTTTTTTGAATCACACGCGGACGGAGTCACAAGCGAAAGCTAGTAATCAAATACACGTGCGTTGAATTTTATGTATTAAAAAACTTTTATAGAGTACACGGTTTAATTAAGAACCGTTGAGACATCCAACGACAAAGTTTCCCAGAATTATAGCAACGACGGTTGCTGCGAGGTAAATTTAAAACTTTATCTCTGAAGTCACATAGCATATTCTTTTTAATAAAGTAGAAGTCCGACTTGGTAGTTTAGGAGCTATTCAAAAAGGGTTACTTAAATCTAAATTTTCGATCTCGTCTTTACTTTAGGTGGAATCGTGGCCAAGCGCTGGTTTATTTATGACTACTTGTTGCTTGCGACTTCGTCCTTGTGAAATTAAATAATAATATAAAATATAGCCTATGTTACTCATTGATTATGTAGCTATTTAATGGTGAAAGAATTTTTGAAATCGGCCCGTTAGTTTTTGAGTTATTTCAATACATACAAAAATACAAATCTCTCTTTTTTATAATATTAGTATAGGTATATATGAAATGAATTAGAAGATTTCTGGTCACATCTCAATGTGTAGCGCTTAATTAAAAACATAACGTTTATTTAAATCCCAAAATTAAAAGAGAGTTAATATAATATTAATAATTCACAGTTGAATTTTATTAAAAATGCAAGCTCAGATTAAAAGAAACCTGCAAACGACGGAAAAAAAAAATGATTGCTAATTATTACTTTGTAAATTTTCCGGCATAATCCAATACGGTCAGCATATTTTAAACGAACAGCGAAACTTTCGCTTCAACTTTCAGTAGCTAATGAAAATTTACGAAGATGAAACTACCGTCTAACAAAATGCAAAAAGGTTTCTCAGACTTTACAGCTTTAGGCTACAAGTTTTAAGCAACATCTATATTCATCCCGATACACTGACTTGCAAAATTAATTAGGAAATTTCTCAAAAGACAAGAACTTTGACAATAGAACAGTCTTTACAATCAAGGAATTACAATTTCAGACTATATTGAAGAATTTGTCTCTATTTTATTACAATTACTAGCTTTCGCCCGCGACTCCTTTCGCGTGGAATAAAAAAAACAAGTAGCCTATATGTTCTTCCAGACTATCCTCTACACCTATGCAAAATTTCATCCGTTCAGCAGTTTAGGCTACAAAATCTAACAAACATCCATCCATCTAAACTTTCGAATTTAAAATATTAGTAAAATTCTTGGTTAAATTAATTAAATAAAGATTACAATGTACTTTGAAGCGATTCCCTAAACCAAAATAACTATAAAATAAAGGATGATAATGGCCTCAAGTATAATTGTGAAATCGATAACGTGGCATTTTCGTGTATCAACGACCCAATCGGCTTTAGTTTTGTTCTCAATGGCAATTGACCCAAGTGGATGTAAAACTAAAAGCCCGTTACCATGGTAACGGGATATTGAGATAAATGGACGGTGAAACTGAACACTTCAAGTTGCTTGGATATGCTTTTTGTTGTTTTTCTTTGATAGTTGGAATTACACAATAAAAGGAGATTGGTACTCTTTATTTGTTCTGCAGTTTATAATGAAAAGCTTTTGTAAACGTTTTTTTTTAGTACCAAGTTTCATAATACAGTTTAAGTATATAAGCAAGTAAGGCTATGTAGCTATCTTCACCGCAGACTATTGACATCTGCATGTTCACGCTCATGTCACTTGATAGCTATAAATTAAGTATAGCGGATTACTTGGCATCAAGTTAATCAGCCTAAGCCGCATTGTTCAATTAATTCGCATATGTTGGCTATACCACATATGCTATAAAATATGTCAATCTTAATTTATATCTTAATAACATTATAAATGCGAAACTTAAGATGGATGGATGTTTGAATTTGCAGCCTAAACGGCTGACCGGATCTTGATGAAATTTGGAATAGACATAGAGGATAGTCTGGAAGAACACATAAATACTTTTGTTTTTTTCGCAGACGGAGTCCCGGGCGAAAGCTAGTAAGAAAATAAATAAACTTTAAGTATGTTTTTAAATAAATGGTTAAATAAGCTATCCGATAATGACCCGGCATCTTTTCATTTGTGCCAATAACGTACCAGTCGGGTTATTTGTTGAATGTTCGCTACATTTGCTGTTTGATTGACGTTTACTCGACTTTCATTACTTTGCTTTTCATGTCGGAATATATTCACATGATTATTTAGGAAAAAAGTCCCACTTTCGACTCCCTATATGTTTGTAGATTTTAACTCAACTAGTAAATTTTAATTGTCGAATCACAAGTGTAAACTTAACTAAAGGCAATGGAATACTACGGTTATAAATAAATGTTTTAATCTATTTGTATATGAAATAGTTTCAAACATACTAAATAACAATACATTTCGAGCAAATACAAAGAATTCCAACATTGTACTGTGAATAGCTTTGAAATGTATTATTGTGACATTAATATAGTGCTCGATGCCGCTGGAGCGTTACGTTTGATACAATTTCAAAGGATCCTTTGAAGATTGTTTGACTACATTCAAAGTGCACGCTGATTTATGTACAACGTGCAGGTGAATAATATTCAACATTATTTTGTAACATTTTGAAGTAATGATTGCTTTTTAAAACATAATCGACTAAACATGCAATTTGAGACGAGGGGGATTGCTACAGTATAGATTTTAACAAATCGATATATTCATAAGACAATTTAGCAATCAATGTGGAGTCCGAGGCAGTGGAGGAACACATGATGATGATTTTATCCTGTCAATACAAAAAAGGTGAAAGCAAATTAGTTGTAATTAAATTATTATTTGAATGACAGGGTAAGAATTTGTAAGGTAAAGACCAGTATTAATAAACCTTGGCATACAAAATGGGGTATATTAGTCAAAAATGGTATATCTATTACTAAAAGCTAATGTTTGGTACTTTAGAAAACTAACTCCTGAATTACATCAATAGATAGAAGAAACGGTGTCGAGAAAGTTAGGTTACTAAAAATGTAGTATTTTAAACCGTTTAAAACTATT